CCATTTCCTGGGTTGTCCATCTGCATCTGTTAGAGACAATTTTTAAGGTTCAGTTTTTCACATTTTTCAGGCCCATTAGTTTATCCAGTCCCTTCAGACACAGCACACCAGATAACTTGGAAAACCATCAAACATCATCCTGAAAAGCCTCAGTCACAGTACACCAGAGGAAAGGGCCACACAGAACTGAGATATTGTCACTGGACAACTGGCGTTTCCTAGGAGCACCATCTACTTTCTGTCACAGCCACAATCAGACCAGAGGGCTTCACATGGGGTAAAATAATAAACAATCTCAGAAGTAAAATCTCCTATTCATAAGAAGCAAAATGTTCCTTCTTAGCTTCCACAGGTAATAAATTTCAGGCTGATATTGGTACAACATCCAGACTCCACTGTGTAGCAAAGCATTTTTTGTGGATTTGGACATAATACTCTGGCTGGCTTCCAAAGACTCATGTCACAAACCTGGTGCCCTGTCTCTGAGTAATATGATCCTTTCATATCAATTTAGCATAAAAATTCACACTGAAACATGGGAATTTCTCAAAAGATAAAAATTTGGAATTTCCCTCTTCTCTAATGAATAATTAATTGCTGATCTAATTAAACATTAAAATCCACAATGAGCTGGAAGAGGCTGACGTGTGTAACTAGCACAAAGTGTGGTATGATTGCCTGTCATTATGAATGGCAACTGTTGTTTGCAACTCATCTAATCATAAAAGTCACATTGTCCTTCTTGCTGTATTTCCTCTGACTCCCTTTTACTATGTTTGCATTTTTAGAAGCTGTTGAGATGTTTTAATTTAAGTATTTGATAATAATACAGGTTGTAAATCTGTGAGAAAATGATAGAACACCTGGTCAAAACCTTGCTGAAATCTATTATCAATAGTCCCTTTTATCATTAGCAGCCTTTGAGAGAAACCCCAATTACCACAACATGAACTCTATCCAATTAACAATAAAGAACCAACGCCATGTTCCTTTGGGCAAACCTGCTTGGAGAAAATGCTATTATTCAGAGCACAACTAGAGATACCCTTAGCCTACCAGAAACCAACAAAAACAGTTTAAAACGCTCAGCAGAGGCCGAGATAAAACAGTTGTGTTGCTACCAGTAAAATGAAGCCTCCAGCTTCAATTCAAAGAGTAAAGAGCGTGATGGATAATTTCTGAACTTCTAAACAGAGATTTCAGCTGCACCTCCCAGCAGTGAGCAACTGAAAAGCCAGCATGTAAAAAAAGCCTTGTCCCTTAAAGTTGACTGGCCAAAAGTTTTCATGTAGCTTTGGCAGAAAAAAGTAGGATGGCTTCAGTAAATCTGATACACAGCTCACTTCAAAAATAAATGCAGATTGTACCTTTTTTCAGGCAACTGTTGGTAGCAAAAAGGGCGGTGTTCAGTGCCTGCTTTTGACAGATCTTAGCCTGTGAGCCCCTGGATATTATTTTGAGCTAAAGCATACTATGTTAGTGCAGCTATAGTAGCAATAATTCTAGATGAAATAGTGTTTGGAGGGCTTACTAAAAAAGTAGAAAATTAACTAATTGGTGATGGGAGTCTGAGCAGGAGATACTGGTGGGAGAAGAATGTGTCAAGCTGTAGCAGAAGAGCTACAATCAGAAACTTGCAATACTGGTGCATTTGCAGAACCTGTAGTTTCAGCCTTTGCAGAATCTGTAGTTGGAATTTAATTATAAAGTAAATTTATAAAAATATATTTGGTTGGAATTTAATTTATAAATTCCACAGGACTAAGCATGTCCAAAGAATCTGAAGTAATGGGATACAAGATAAGAGTCTTTAAAATCATGTGGTTCAAAGCACAAACCACCCCAGCATTGACTGAGAGGATAGAAATTGACTGCATCTGGTAATGAAAAAAGTCTGCTGGACACTCAGAAAAGCCTACTGTCAAAGGAATTTCATTAGGAAGAATTTCCAAGTCAACTTACTAGTTGGACTCTAAATTAAAACACATGAAACATCTTCTAAGATGTTCTTTACCTTTCCTTTGATTCAAATTATCTTAACAGTATAAAACACTTCAATCTTTTCACATTTAAACCACAATGAAACACAATACATAGACTCCACTTGGGGAAGGAACAGATTGTAGTGAAATTAAAACAACAATTTTCATACATTGAAGGGAAGAATTAGCTGAAGAACTAAGTCTCTTCTTAGAATGTTCCACGTTGGTATCAGCGTCTATCTTCTAAAAAGTTGAGTAAAATATTACTCTGTGTGTACATATGTACATGTCTGAACATGTACAGGAGCACTGAAATAATTACAGATGTCAAATAATTAAACCGATATCATGATCGCAGCTATTTTAGGCTGCTCTTCAGTCCTGGGAAAGAAATACTTAGAAAATTCTACACTAATTGACAAACCATATCCCAAATTCCATACTCCAAATTCCTCATTCCATTAGGCCATCCCCCAACAAATAATCTCCTTTAATCTTGTTTGTAGTACAGGTTCAATTATTTAATCTTCCTGGGCTTAGACATTTTAGAAGAAAAATATTTAAATGATTCCTGGTGAAATATTATGGCAAACACCCAACAGGCAGTTTTCTTGGAAAAAGGAAAACTCAAGACCCCAAACTCATTAAGAAAATCACATGACAACAAAGCTTTGAGAGTGAGATCTTGCTCCTTCATGTCTTGTTGTAGGAAGAAGGGAAGGAGAGCACCAAAGAAGAGGTTTACAAGAGGGAACTGGAGCAGGACTGAAATTTTCTTACACAGGCATGACATGTGAAATGTTACTGATTGTCTCGTGCTTGTAAAAGGGATATTCTGTAGACCAGAATTAGCACTAAAGAGGAATTGTTTAAACATGAGCCTGAGAAACAAAATCCTAAGCTGGTGTCTACATGGGGAGAGAGATCCAAAATCAAGCTCACGTTTTGTTAAGACACTCTAATGTTATGACTAGTTATGAATGAAAATTTTGTTCATTTAATTATGAGATTAGACATATTTAGACATTTACACCCAAATACATCCAAGAAGACAGTAAAGATGCTTCTTCAGAGCAGGAAAACAGGCACAGAGAGGAAGGCTAATAGAGACATAATGGAATATGATATAGATGACTGAAACTGGCAAAACACATGAAAGGCAAGGCAGTGTCTATTTGCTTTCCTCATTGACTGGGAAAAGTTATTTGTTAAAGGATGTCATGGAAAAGATTAAATGCTGAGGCAATGTGTGCATCAGCATAATTAAACAGCTCAGTGATCTCAGCAGGAAGAACTCGGGGTTTGGAGCAAAATTTCTCTTACTGTGAATTCAAGCTGGGCACCATCATCACTTTGCATTCCCTCTTTGAAAAGTATTTCCATTTGGACATGAGTGAATGGCAGGTAGTTGCCACACAAGTGCTGACAAGAAGCAACAGGCATCAATTTTCACTCCTATCTGACTTGATAAGTATTTTCTGTTCAAAGCTATGAGTCCTGTCCTGCCTCAAAAATATGTACTTTTTACTGAACATACTGATTCATACTTTCAGAAATTCACTCAGTCAAGGATTGCTATCTTCAGAAGCAAATGCATGTTATTAAAAATCAAGAAATACTTCATTTGTTAGAAGGACAATGATTAATTCCTGTTTTGTGGTTTAATGGCAAAAATCCTGATTTTTTACATAGATTAGAGAAAGGCAAACTGGAACAGAAATTGCAAGGACCTTCCAAGTCCAATCCTCTTTTGAGGCAAGGTGAAGGACTCTCAGTCCATTCTTGATGATAAAAAACAGTTCCCAAAAACCTTAGAAATCTTCCTGCCCCATGTTTGAGCTTTCACTTATCTCATTCCCAGTATTCTCTTTGCCTTTTCCTTTACTGACCCTTGTGAAGACAAACTTTATTCTGCGGTACACTCTTCTGCTGTGATACCTTCATTTTTGAATAGTTTTTTCTAACACCCTCCCAAATGCTTAATCTTAACTTTAATTATCCTGCATTTTCTCCTCTTAAATGAAATAAAATAAATCCCCATGCTTGCATTCATCCCACCTACCTCTTCTTTTTGTATTGACAGTAAATTCCTCCCTGTAAATTAGTATCAAACTCTAAAGCAGCCATTTCACTTAGAAAATTCTACCTTCCAAAACCACACTCTCCAAGGACTCACAGAGATCTGTGATGGCACAAGTTCCCTCGAAAATCTACAAATAACAAGCAAGTCTTTGCTTTAAAATACCAAGATTAATTTAATTTTCTTCTCAAGAAAACAACACCCTAAGCACCATTTCTTTGCATTTTCATCTACAAAAAACATCCCTGCAGTAAGGTTCTCTCCCTCCTTTTTTTTCCCTGGCTTTTTTTCTGTGTATAAAAATGTTTCCCAATTTCCTGCAGCTGTCTCTCTGCCTTCCCTGCTTTTCTTAGAAAGGGAGAGCGGGGTCTTGAGCAATTTTTTGGTGGTTTGTTCTGTTTTCCTAAAATGAAGCAAATCCCCCAGGAACTAAACTGGCTCTCTCAGATGGAATCATCACATCCTGTTGATTCACAATTGGACCTGGCTCTCAAAAGCCTTCAGCAACCTGGAAACACAAGGCAAGGCTCAATAGTATTTGCTGTGTGCACTAGAGATAGGATGGTCATTGACCTCCTTGCCTTCTGACCGCTTGTTCTATTGAGCAGCTTGTTCTTGGTTGACCCAGACCACTGACATCTGTCCTGGTTTTGCATTAATTGATATTTAGTAAGGAAGAAAGAAACCACCCATGGAAGTGATTTTACTGAGAGAAGCTGAGAAGGGTTTCCTCTGTGCCTGGAAAAAAACAATAGCTGGCTAGCTCTGAGAGTTGACATCTTATTAAACCATTTAGAAGCTGTGTCCACCTCTGTGCATTTCACATTTTAAAAACAGGCAAGCCCAGGAAATCTCTCTCTTTCTTCCAGCCTCAAAAGGTAACTGAGCTCTGGAGAGGCTGGCCCACCCGGGGCCTGGCAGGGCTGGGCTGGGCCCCAGCGGTGGCTGGGTGGTGGCCAGGAGGCCACAGGGCGGTGGATGAAGCTAGGCCAGCTCACAGCTGCTAATATCTCAATAACACCGAGCCCCTGCCATCAGTCCATGCTGAGCAGGGGTCTGCTGAGCCCCGGGAGCGGCCCCAGGCTGGGACAGGTCCCACACCCCTCCCAGTGGCTGCCGGGCAGAGGTTGGGGCCCGGCACAGCCTGAAATTCAATGCTGTGACTGCTTCAGCTACTGCTCATGAACATCTGCAGGCCTGGGAGAGATACTCACCCTTTCACTGCACAGATGAGACCTGCAGACCTTGATCCTCTCTCAAAAGCGAGAAAAGGACAGACTGACGACACATAGAAAACAACATGAAGACACCAAGGTCAGTAAAGAAGGAGTCAAGTCTCAGATGGAAGGATAATGAGGAGATGCCCTAGTATTGAGACTGAAAGTTCTTTTGGTAGGGCCATGGAGATGGACTATGATACACTAAAATATCCCTTTTAATTCATGAGAAAGTATGGGCATATGAAGTGTTCAAACTGTAGATGTGAGCAGAGGTATCAATAATGAAGCAAAATAGATGCTGAAGGGACTGTGATCTCATGAGAAGCTTGAACAGAGAGAGTGATGAAGACTCTTCTCTCCCAGGGAGAGAAGACCTCTGTTCCCAGAGATGAAGATGATCACAGAGATAGATGAAGAGAATCTTTGCCTTTGAACACCTCATCCTTAAAATAATACCCCATAAATTGATATGGCCCATTTACCCAGCTGTGGGACGGCTGTGAAAATGGGAGGAGTTTCACAATTGCAGGTTTTTTTTCCCCTGGGCAGCTGCTATTCGTGGAAATGAAAAGCCATGAGAGAACTGTTTCTTGTCTAGAAGTCCCTATGGCATGGCAAGAGAAAGCTCCTCTCCCTACAAGAACTGATTAACTATTGTAGACTATTGTAGAAACAATAACTGATTTAAAATCCAAGATTTTGTCTCTACATTGTCAGTTGGGAAAGAAGTCAGGCAGGGGGAGAAAAAGTGTTCTGAAAGTTTTACTCTGATGCTTTTTACTCTGATGCTTCTTTTAGTTCTATTAATAAACTTTTCTTCATACCTTTTAAGTTTTGAACCTGTTTTGCCCTCCTCCTAATCCATATCTCACAGCAAGAAATGAGTAAGTGCGCTGGTGATTTTAGCCAGCGCTAAACCTACCACATTATTTGGTATGTTGGCCAGGAAACTCAAATTGGCGAACATATACCACTACACATCACTGCCAGTAAACATTTTAGACCAAAAGCCAACATATTTGGGTGCCTTGAACACCTCCAGGAAACTGGAATTCCTTTCAAAGCCTGGGACTGTCTTGGAAAACTTTAATGATCTTTCATGTCGTAGCATGATACATGACAGACTCCATGATTTTATGTGTCTGACACCTGAAACAAGAAAGAAGCAAAAGGATCTGCCTTTTAAAAGTTAAGGGTATTTTTTTAGGACAACATGGGAATGCCTGATCAGATGATAACACTTCTCAGATAACCTGTCACAATCACAAAGGCCTGCAAATCCTTTCATTTTCACTCCTTACCTCAGCAGTATTGTTGCTATGTAAATGTTTAATGCAGGCAATATTTAATGGAGATTCTCATGGGGCTTCTGCTTTGGCCTCCTCTTTCATGAGATTTCTTATCTTCTGGAAATAATTATGGCATTCATTAGCTAAGTGACATTTAAGACCTCGTCACCATTTCTGGCCATGTGGTCTGTTAGTCCACAGACCCAGCTAACCCAGATTTGCAGTAATAGTGGGAAAAAGTCACCTAATTATCACAGCTTTTTGTATTTATTTGAACATAGAAAGCAAATCAGAGCAAATGGCCAAATTTGAAGTGGAACTTAGGATCATTCCTACACATACTTGCCAAGGCAGGGGCTCTGTATTATGTTAACAGTTTTAATCTGGACAAAAAGTCCATTGTTTGCTCTTAACAGGCATACAAATTCTTTTGCTAATGCAGCTGTAGGTTGAAGAAAATGGATGATGAAAAGCATGGATTGTAAGACAATTATATGTATCCCTGCATCCACCTTCCAGTCATAAAATGATGGTCAGAGCTATCTAAAGCTCCTGAAAGCACAGGGAAAAGCAAGAGATTTACCTGTGCAGTTTTGTCAGAGCTTCAAGGTGCACAAAAGCAACTAACACTGCTGAATTACTTGATTTATCTTCAGCTACATCCTCCATTAAGCACTATGTTGACCTCTAAATGTTGCATATGTAAAAAAAGTCGCATCAGTTACTATGTGCAGACACAGCAAGAAAATAATTCTCACAATTTTCTAGTCTTCCATATTGTGGCAGAATGACAGCAACATTTTCTGAGGGTCATTTATCATCTTCTGTAGGTGAATGCTTTGTCTGCCTTGTTTCCTGGCTGGGTGGTCTGTACCGGACTCCCACCATGCTGCCTTGTTGAAATTTCTCCTGATTCTTACCCATAAACACTCAAACTTTTCATCACCATCATCGAGCTCTGGACAGTCAAAACACACAGGGTTACCCCACCTCCTCTTCTTCCTTGCATATCTCTCCTGAAGGGTTTATAGCCATCCTCTGAGAACTCCAGTTGTGTGAGTCATCCCACCACGTTTCTGTGATTGTGTTTCTGTGATTGTGTTTCTGTGATTGTGTTTCTGTGATTGTTTCTGTGATTGCTTTCCAAGCTTTCCCACTCCACAATGAATTTGAACTTCCTCTGTGTGTTGCAAATGCTGCATGCATTGGTGTAGAGGCACTCCAGATCTTTCCACCCCTTAGGGAGGAGAAGCCTGAGTTCCTATGTGGTTGTTCTCAGGTGCTTCTGTAGTTCCTAACACATCAATAACTCTTGTATCTTTGGTGCAGCATCAGTCTCCATCCCCTACCTCCACTGAGAGGGCAGAGGGCCCTCGCCAGCACATCATCCCTCAAATTAAGGTCAGTCTGCATTTCCCTTTCCAAGTTACTCCTTCTATCAATGCATATTGAATGAAAAGAGGTCAGCATCTTATTTGTGCCTCAGGGAATTACATGCTATTAATTTTTAACATTTCTTCACTGTGGCACTCATTTAAGATCTCAGAAACTCAAGTCATTTATCAGAGAGAGAGAAGGCACAAGCACCATTTCAGTCCCCTTTAAAAGGTGCAAATCTCAGAGCAAAGTGCAAGTGTTAAAGATAAAACATTCCTCAGTCTATTACAGTTGAGGATAAGTCAGAACATAAATACAACTCAATCCTTTTAAGCTGCAAATTTCTCACTCTACTGCAGCTTACAGAACAAATCTCAGATCAAATCTGTGAGAGCCAGAGGTAAACTATTCTTCAATACACCATAATTTAAAATGTCTCATAACTCACTGCACAAAGCACAAGGTTCAGAGTGCCTTTAGCTTCAGTAGGAAAGGCAAAAATGGCAATTTAGAACTGAGGAGTGAGGAAACTCATAAGGATTAAATACAGCCATGCCAGTTTCAATGACAATTATGACAGTGACAGAAGGCTTTGATTTTTATCAGGTGATGTGATCCCTTCACTGGTATCTCATTGCTGGCAGTCTTTCATGACTTGGATATTTCAGAGATCCTCTGTAATAGCAGAATGGTTGAAATGCACAGCAGATTTTGTTTCCAGCCCTGCTCATTTCTAAACATCCCCCAACAATCACAAGGCTGAGAAAACATTGATTGTTTCAGCTAATTTCTATATAGATCTTCTCTGAAGTATTTTAAGGACTTTCCCATGAGTTTTTTCCTGAAGGTTAGATTTTGACTCTCATGGCATCTCATCATGTTTTTTTCCCATCAACTCTGTATCTCATGATGAAGTACTTCTGCCTTGGAAGAACAACTCTGCATGTATGTACATATGTACAGTAACTCCTTGTGACACTCTTCAAAGCTTTCTTCTACCACTTTTTACTATAAAAATGCAGGTAAAATTTATGGTCATTTGATTTCTTGAACAGAAACAAAATCCTCTGCATTTTCCACAGAAAGCTAAAATCTTTTGTGAAATCAATTTGAACATTTTCTTTTCTAAATTGAAAATTAATCAGCATTAGTGTGAGTTCAATCCAGAAACCAGAAAAGGCTTAGGCTGATTTTCTCACTGCTATATCTGTGGGCTCCAGCCAGAGAACTCAGCTACCCAGTGTTATAAATGAAATTAGAATTTTAACAACTAGGTCTATTTAATTAATAGCAATTTAATAACAAGAAAAAAAATTATACAATCTAGTGAATTGAATACAAGAATACAATTTAGTGGATTGAATAACAATTTGGTATAAAAGGAATATAATTTATTAAAAGAGTACCATTTAGTACATATATTCATATACACACACATGCACACACATATACATATATATATATGTATATAAACATAGCTTGCCAGTAATTAAGCATGATTAAAGCACAAGCAAAACCGACTGGGGTATGGGGAGGGCTTCTCACCCTACCTCACATACAAAACAAAGTCATTCAAACCAAACTTATATACTATATGCTTATACATATTCATTAATGTTTCCCATAAATCTCCTCCTATTTCCGCATTATGTTCCACTAATTAGTCTTACATTTTATAATTTTCAGGCCCTATGCCTAAAGTCGCTCCAACTTTGTCCATTTCAAGGTCGATTTTGTCTTAGGACGTTACTTATCTCAAAACTACATCCTGTATCTTAATTTTAACATGTAACATCTGTAAAGGGTTACATGTGCCTCGTAACACTAATTCCCTTGATTGCTGTTAATAATAACTTCCCAAATAGTTACAATTTAGTTAGCACGAATAATTTCCCTTTATTACACCAGGATGCTGTGTTTTCCTTCGTATCAATGTGGAATTTGTGTTGGAATGGTATTTGGTCCAGATCCTAAGGGTTATTTGGGATCTTGTGCCAAGCGACCTGTAACTTCTCTAAAACTCCCCTCTAAATCAATCTTTTGCACAGATATAAAAATCAGGGCAGTACAGACCTAATATCTCAGTTTAACTCATGTCAGCACAGCATGAAGTGGATTTTCCTGGATGATTTAGAGAGCTCATTTACTTAGACAATATAGCAAGGGCATGTAACAGATCCTTCATTTTCCAGTGCAGACAAGATAATCTAATATATTTAGAATAAGAAAAGATTTAGATCAGATATTTCAACTCTCAGGGGATAAAAATGCTTTCAAATTCCTTTCATCTCTCTCCCTCACTATGACTGTATTTAACACCTGGAAAACAAAGATGCATTTCTTACTGCTTCTCAGAGAGATCTTGTATCAAACCAAACCAAATCAAAAAAAGCCCAATTTTAAAACAACCAGGAAGAAAACTCTCATTCTCTGGAAAAGCAGTGCACACTGGGTAAAAGAGAACCAAAATACGGAAAAAATGTATTCCTGTCACTTTGCATGTTTGAAAGCCACACAAAAATGCCATAATTTCCATTCTGTTGATGAGACTATATTTTCATTATAGGACCTATGTTTTCACTGCATATCTTAGTTTCAAATCCACACTGCCATATGGAATTATGAGCTAGGTAAAATATAGATAATTTTTTAATGAAAACAACATGACCAGTCTTGAAACTAATATCCAAAAATAGAATCTAAAGCATAGGCCAGGATATGCAGTTATTTCTTATTAAGAGGTGATATCTCTCTTGTCATGGAGACAAGAGAGTCTTGTCTCCATGGAGGAGAAACCCAATTATTACATTGATATTAAATGAAAATTGATCATGAAACCAGGGCAGGCAGTGCTATGACAGGAGAAATAATTTCTGGCAGAGGGTCTAAACCAGAGTCTAGACCTTCCTTCACAGTGCTGCTAAGAGTTATCAGAGTCTTAACCAGATGCAATGCAAAAAACCAAGTATTCCAAGGTTAATGCTCCTTCAGAAAGAAACTATTACCTACAGATTACTACATTCAGCACCACTATGTCTAAATGTTGTGCCAAGAGTCTTGCCTGGGCACAACAACCTGCTCTGCTCTATGTTATAAACACATACATAAAACTTGACCTCTGGACTTAGTTTTTTAAATGCTATGATGTTTAAACATCATAGTTTCTGCCTAAAGGACTAATCACATTCTTTTGCAATAATTACTTATTTTATCCACACATGCTGGTCTGGAGGTTTTGAGAGTGTGAAGGGTTTTAATTAAAAAAAAAAGAGAAAAATATAATAGTAACTTTGTGTATGCCACCTTTCAAATCCCTGCTGTTGTCCCTCAGGAAAGTTGCATTTTATTGGCAGAAATTTCACTGCCCCTTCCACCATACTACTCATCTCTCAGTGTGACATTTAAGGGTGGCCTCTAAAAGCATGACAGCAGTGGCATTGATGTTACATAAAGAAGCAATTTTGACAGGGGTTTGTAACTATTCTAGCATCTTGCTCTTTTCTCTGGGCTGTCACACACCTCTCTGACAAGCATTACATTTATCAACAATACGAGAAAGAAAACAGTAACAGAAAATGTGGTGCTTTTTACAGCAAAAATATGCATAGGAAATTTAATGTCAGCATAAACAGTGCTGGAAAGGTCTGTGTAAGGGTCTTTACTATCATGTTCAAAGCTGGGGTTAACATGAACTCTGTGTGTGTTATGTAACAGCAATTATGCCAGAACAGTTTCAGAATGACTTCACTTTGAGCAGAGTGAGGATTGCAGTAGCTTTTGACAGACATAAACATAGATAAAAGCCATCAGTGATCCTTTTCCCACCTTCTCTACATTCTCCCATATTGATGCTTGTCATGACAAGGTTCTAGAGTCATAGAATGGTCCGGGATGGAATGGAAATTAAAGGCCATCTCATTCCAACCTTCTTTCTGTGGGCAGGGACACTTCCCACTAGACCAGGTTGCTCAGATCCCTATCCAAACTGTCCTTGAACACTTCCAGGGATGGGGCATCCACAACTTCTCTGGGAAATCTGTTCCAGTATTTGTTTTTATTACCAGAATATTTTATCACAAAAGATGTGCTTTCAAGACAGTGAAGTATTATGGAAGGGCCAGGGGCCTATAACTAAAATCTACCCCAATCTTGGAAAGGAGGCAACAAGTTACACCTCCTGAGGCTGGGGTAAGAGAAGGCCTCCCTCCCACAGATCTTCACAATTATATGCCAATGTACAGCTAAGTTTGTTCTCCCATTGCTTTGTCAAGTTTATGCCACCCCGTTTACCTTATTTGTAAACCTCTTAGAATGTTCTCCCTCCCCTCAATCCCCATTGGCCCCGGTTTGCTGCAGTCCTCTGCCCCTGGTTTCCTATTGGTGGTTCCTGCTCCTAACCCCACCTCTGCACCACTTTTACCCATTCCCATTGGACCCTGACGCTTTGAGCCACCCCCTCTTACCCTTATATAACCCTGGACCCTCCACTCAGTTTGGTCTTTGTCCCTGGACCCTCTTCAGGAAAGAGATGCTTCCTGGAGCCAAGCAGAGGCCCATCCCTTGTCTTTGGTGTGCTTCAAGTTTTTGTTGTGCACTCTGGGCTGAAAAAGTACTGATTGCTCTCAGGCGATGTTGTTGCATGATGCAACAAAGTATTGTGGGAAAACTTGCGAGCAATTTTATTTTTATAAATACAGTGTCAGCTTTGCCTCTTTATTTCAATTTTGTTTTATATAGTAATAACATCACTATAGCCTTGAGGTTCATGCTCTGTTTGTGTGATTTAAAATCATACAGAAGTTTTCTATGTGCAGCTTCTTTAACGTTCTCTTGCAACCAAGTGTGTACTTTATTGTTCAAGGATGTACGTACTTTTCACTTTCTTATACATAAAGAGAATGTGGACAAAACTCTAAAAGTTTCTTCAGGCATACAAAAAGATATTTTATTGATATTTTTGGAAGTAGATTAGAAGAAAAAGAAAAAAAATGGGGGAACAGTAGAAGAAACTTCTACAATTTGTTTTCCTAAACTAGGCTAGGGTTTTTTAGAAGCCAGGCAATATATCCCTGTGGCCCTAGGAAGGTTTGGTAGGAAAGGAGATTTTCTAACACTTTCAGGTGGCATGTGCAAGTATCATCATGTTTTGTTTAGAAGCAAAGCTTAAAATTTAGAGAGTACACAATAAAAAAAGCCATTGTCAGAGATACTCAGAATTAAAAACACTTGTATTTTATCAGTAGCATCATTTTAGCTCCCCTCTTGTGTCCTGTGTGCTTCAGGACTACAGAAAAAAGGCATGTGAGGACCAGCAAGGACAGAGTTAGGTAGGGACTTAATGGGATTCTTATGGTTTCTAATTTCTTACTAAGACTGATGTACTGTGGAGCTCTTCATCCTGGGAAAATATGGCCAGTAATTGGCAAAGCACTTCAAAAATCTCAGGTGAAATAATTGATGCCTGCCACTTGAGTTTGACCCTAAATGGTCCACATCAACATTTTCTCTCCTGACTTAAAATGCATTTTTAAATACCAAGGAGAATAGTTCACAAATTACTAGTCAATAGAAGGCTTCCAAAAAATGACAGATACTAGAGATAGAAAGGAATACACATTGGGTAATTTCCAAGTAATGTGGTTGTCCCTGTGTGATGTTCAGTGTCAATAAGAAAGGGAGTCTGCCAGTTACATCTTCAGTCAGAAACAAATCTACTTCTGTAGATCAGACCAAAATACATAGAAAAACAAAATAAGGCCCATGTTTGTGTTTCAAGGAATTATAACTTTATTCTTTTACATCAGATCTGCGTTTTGTGTTCGTGTTCCTTTTTGCAGTTACTTAAGGAAGAGGTCTCACTTCCAGAAATCCGAACCTAATATGCAGAACAGACAATTTACAGTCACACACCTAAAAATCCAAGAAGAGATGGATGAATATAAAGAAATATTTTAAAGCAGGTATTTCATGCTACTGTAATTCATTGATGTTCTCAAGGCCTCAGCTGACACATTTACAATTTGTTCCCTGGAAAGTGGACATTCATGTTTCTTATTGGAATTGAACAAGTATGAAAATTGCATTGTATGCCTTGTGTGAAATGCAGCCTTCATCAGTTGTTTTTGTTTCTTGAAGGTGAAAGAAGTGTATCAATTTTATGAAGATGCTCTCCTGAATGCTTTTTATTTAATTCTTGCTGAACTCTATCTCCAAAACAACGTATTTCAGTCTGTCACCTCAACACCAAGATGCTAAGCCAGTGAGCAGATGTGTCCTTTCTGCAGCAAAATAGGCTTACTCATTTTTATTGATGAAAATTAGCCAAAACATTGCCAAAGGTGATATTGCCATTCAGAGAATTTCCATTCCAATGCAGATATTTTACATAACAGCTTGCATATCTGTGCTTTAAATCATTTTCATGGATTGGAGGCCATAGGAGAAAACGAAAAATATTTTGGCTGAAAAGGGCTACAACTTAAACAGGGTTTAATGCATTGATTTCAAACCCTGGAAGATGTTACGCCTTCTAGCTTATTGCATTTTGTTGCATGGTCTTTAAATAAAGGAGTACCCTGTGCTTTGCAAGTTTTATGTTAGTGTTGGGGAAAAAAAGTAGCATTTTCTTCCCATATGCTTTTTATATAGTATCTACTGAGAATTGGGGGCTGTTTATATCTTATTGCCTGCTGTCTCAGGTTAAAAACAAATCTATACAAGATGAAGTCTGCATCCAGGTCATGGAAAAAGTATCAGCACTCTCTGAATTAAACAGCAAAGTCATGTGTAGTATTTTGTCTGTGGGAAATGCAGCTATATTATAAAAACATTGCTAAATTTGAGATTTCTAGGTAGTTACCAGACATACACCAAATACCAGCAAAAAATGAACTTGGAAAAAATTTGCAGTATCTCCTTAGAAATGAGATACAGCCTGAGATATATATCTGAGTAGAAAATATCTGATCAATACCAAGGGAGTAAGTACAAAGAAAAGTAAAAGGAAAAATTAGAGGATGAAGAAAGGCCTGGCATATGAGACCCTCAAAAATGTTTCATAGAAAAGAAAGGGAAAATAAATAAATAAAAAAAGAGTCCGAGAAACCAGAGTGCTTGGAGTTTTGCTTTTTGACATTAATGAGACACAAGATGTTGTAGTCAGTCAGATTGTTGTGGAAGGAGCCAAGGAGAAAGACAAAAAAAATAAGTCATAGACAGAAACTATAAAACAATTTTTTGTAGCTGCTTATGGCTTCCTGATGCTAAAGGCAAGAAGGTTTAAGAACTGAGACTTTTACTATCCAAATGGAGAGGTCTTGTAATAGCTGTGCAAGTTTATAGTGCAGTCATTTTTCAAGAGGTCTTTGCTTCTGGAGCACATTTATGTGCAATCCATCATACATCCATATAACACAAAAATCAGCACTTGGCTAAAATTTCCTTTAAATGTCATGATCTTCCACCAAACTTTTTTCTTATATTGTACTTCGTATAAAAAGCAGGAAAGATTCACTGGAAGGTGCTTTTGTTAATGCTGTCCTTCTTGTTAATGATGTCCTTCTTTCTTTTTAATCTAATTATCCTTAAGTTATGATGCCATAAGTTTTAGCTTTCATATTTTCCAGATTCTGTACTGCATTGGTATGTAACTCTGAACTTCATGTAAAGTGTTAGCAAGTTCTCCTCACAGTTTAGTTAGACAAAATGATCCTTTTCCAGCCCGAGAACCAGGGACACCATTGCAGCTTCAGACCCAAAAGGTATAAGCAAACTGGGAGGATGGGAGTTCATAACCTGAAGCTGTAATTGGGCAATTAACCCCAATATGTAAATGGACCAAAACTTACAAAAGTGTGAAAATGTGTGATCCATTGTCCATCTGAGTGTAGCCTGTCTGATGTACTGGCCAGGGTGTGTCCTTTGAAGGCTTTTTTAATAAATATCTACTTTATTCCTTCAACACTGTCTAGCCTCTTTTCCAGGTAGCCTCTTACAGCATCAACTAACTCAAGATGAAAATTGTGATTTTTGGCTTGAGATGAATGATTTCATTCATTCATGTCTAATCTGAAATCATTAAGATGACTTTCAGAGTAAAGATAGCAGAAAGCAGAAATATAATTTTGTCAAAGTGTATCCTTTTTTTCCACCACTTTTGATGAAGGCCATACATTACACAAGTGTACAATGATTTGCTCAAGGATGAACTGGAAATAGCATATTCTTGGTTTTTCTTAGGTCTTTTAGGACAATTCTGGCAACAATTAAAGCTCTTTTCTGAGTGTAGTCTGCAGTTAGCCATGTGAGTAGAAACATTATTATAAATAAAAATCAGACTCAAGATATGCACTTTGAAAAAATGTGAATAAGAGACGTATCAGGAGATCTCCTCAGTTTTAGAAATGTGGATCTATGGTTATCTAGTGTTAAATGAGACCTTACACATTTAAAACCTAAGTCTGATTTTAAACATCACTGTAAAAGTAAAGCATTTACATTTTCCATAATTCTGTGCAATAGAGGACACTATCACAATCAAAAGTATTGAAGGTTAGGTGCTTAACTTGTAAAGTTTATATATGTGTCAAAGAACGCACCTGGCTCAGCACCTGGCCCAGAACACCAGGACAGTTCTTCCTCTCTGAATGTAAATAATTGACAGCAGAAAGGAGGCCAGGTTGGCTCCTTGCTTGGAGATATCATCTCTGTGGCCCCAGTCTGAAGCTCTAAAACCTGTAGGAAGTTTTCCACTGGCTTTGGATTGAGAGAAAAAACAGACTGTATAGGTACAGGAGAAGGATATTGCTCATTTGAAGTGTTTAAACAAATTCTTGTTGCGGCTGTTTGTGCCTTTACAAGTGTATTGCATCCCACTGTGTTTTTTTTAAGCAGGTTTACATCTCTGGGAACTGCTTACTTCTGGAAGGCAGACATCAGTCACAAAGAACAGCTATTTTGGAGTTCTAGACCTTCATCCTAATACCTACATTAAGATTTCCACTTCTGCATCACAGGAGTAAGTAAAAAACGCAAAGATATGTGAGTGACTCAGTCAGTGCTAGTGGCTATTTTACATTTTCCCTTCTTTCTATGTCACTTAAAGTTGTATTTCCAACATGTAAACTGCTGGTATCTCTCACAGGCTGACAGGTAAAAAGCTTTATGATTTCAAAGCAACCTCCTTATTACTAAATCTGACAGTCTAATTTCTATGTATAAACATGTCAATACCATTTTCAAGAAATTCGATATTCTTTTGTCTTTTACCAAAACAGAGAGCATGAGACTGCCTCTTGTGATGTCTCAGGGAGGCCTGCTGATGACAGGGCTGATGAAACACAGCCTTGGAAAACCTCCATCTGTCCCATTTAGACAATCCACAGGGTTAGATCTCTGAGGTGAAATTAATGTCTATGAGATGCTTTTCTAATCCACAGCAAGAGAGGGTTATTGCTCCTGATGACTCCAATAAACAAGCAGGACAGGTTGTAGTATTGTAGATTTGAGCTAGACTTCTGGTTTTAGATAGCCTAACACCGCAGCTTGGAGGAATGAAGAAAAAATAACGTTTCTCTTCTGTACCAAGCAGACTTTCACCAATGGTGATTTTCTCAGAAAAATGCCTGTTAGGATGTCCAATACCTCCATCCCACTCCCTGAGTGTCTGTAGCCAGCATGAAACTAGAAAGGCAGGAATTAAAAGGCCAGTCCTGCTTAACCTCTGTATGATGGATCATGCCATCATGCTGTGTCCTTCTTGAACAGTTTGTCAGGGCTCTGATGCAATATTTCCCCATCACTCATTTAATGGAGAAAAGTTAAAGTGGAGCCATGACAAATTAGGGCATATTTAACTCAAGGTCTGTGGGGACTGGCCTGGGTACAAGGAGGAGGGAGAGAAGGAAACACAGAAGGCAATCTGTCTGATTTTGGACAATTTTTGGGCAAAAAAGGGGCAAGTGTGATCACATTCTCTTAGGCAAGGGGCAGAGGGCAACACTCACATGCAAATGCATGAGGTCTCATCACCACTATGCTCTAGAGCACTGCCAGTATCCTCACTTATGCAAAGTGGTTTCTGCCATCACACACTGACACTTGAGAGGGTTTAAGTGGAATTCCAATAGACTTTAATCTCCTTTCTGAAAGCTGTAATGTATAGCAAAATCTTTCAATGTTTTTGTAACTGGTCTATGGAAATCTCTGCTGACATTCATCTCAATAATGTAAAGTTAACCACAAACCTGTAAGGAATGCTGCTTCCGAGAAACAGACTGAATTTTTGAAGGATTCCCTCGAATACCAGGCAAAAAGAAATCTGCTAACATTGCACAGGCCTTAACTAGCATGTATTGAAATTTTCAAAGTTGTTAAAAAATCATTACATGTGTTAAAAGAAGATTGTGGCTTGAAAGAAATGTCTTCAGAACTCTTCCTGCTGACTTGCAAATACCCTGAAACTCACAAAATCCATCACTAGAGGAAATATTCTCACAGGACCAGAAGGGCTAGAACTGATAAAATCAAAGAGCAAAAGCTAACATGGCAGGGCAGATCCACCAGCACTGAAATCAATACCCTGTCCCGGTGGAGCCATCAGAATCCATGGAACCAGGCATGCTTGTCCTGAAGCATTCTTTCAGTGACTAAATGCCCTTCTGGTAACTATATGAGCAAAGCTAATCAACCGCTATCCAGCAAGGAGTTCCCCTAAGCTATCTGTATAGGAACTTTTTCTCTAACCTCCCAGCCCTCAGCCTCAAGGGACACATACATAATTACTTCCTTTTTCAGCTGGAAACTGAAATCCATGGCTGTGTAATGCCAAAAATCCAACAGTGAACAGAAGCAGGGGTTTTGTGCCTCGTTATGATTTTCCTGCTGCTCTCTTGGTAGTGCCTACTACCAAGACAACTCATTACTAGTAGTGCTTACTACTACTCTGTGGTGCAGCAAGTTCCAGAGCCACTGGTCTCAATGTCCCTGCTGTGTGCTCCTCCTGTCTCTTTAAAAAAAAAGGTGGGAGATCATGGTTTAGCAGCTCACAGATGCAGCATTCTTGCTTGGAGAAGAAGAGCAGCTTTGTCTGGAAGACAAACATAATGAAAGCAGAACATAAATTGCTTCATCGTGTTCATCAATATGCTGAACCCTGAGCTATTATTATTTGCTTGCTGTCTTCTTTAATTAAATTTTCCTCAAAATGTACCTTGTGAATAATCTATGTGCCAATTCTTTTCATCTCTCTCTAATGGATGAAAAGCTCTTTTTTAAACTTAGACTCAAAGTGGAGGTACTGAAACAGATTTTTCTGTGAAATGTTTTTTTGTTTAATTGATGTGTTTTACAACATTCCTCTAATATCACCCACTAATCAAAACATTAAATGGTTTCTGTGTTTTAGAATGCGAGATCATTGGTGTGCCAAGACTCTATCACTTTAGTGAGTGAGTTAAAAAATGTGTGAATGAGATAGTAGGTTGTCTACTGAAATATACTTTGCTCAGCTTTTGTCTCTCAACAAAATTTGCTTCACATTAAGATCAGCTAACCAAGATTTTGGCATGAAGACTTTTCTTGTCTGGGAGCCTTGAAAACCAAGCTTTTAGCTTCCTTTTAAACACCATTTGGAATCATTAATCACAGTTTGCTTTTGTGCACTGGTAACACAGGCTGGCTTCTCATTCTGAAGGAGAGAAATTTTCTATCTATTTTGGTAATGTTCAGCTGTAGACTACTCTTCATTTCTTTTCAGAAATAACAAGTCTTAGGGCCAAACCTTCAGTTTGTGCAAAACATCCTAATCCTGTGAATTTCAAAATCATGCAGGGAGTGAGAAATTATCTGTATTGGCTGTATTGGATCTATTTCCCCAGTTCAAGAAAACTTTTCTGTATTGAGACAACTCTGTCACTTGGGAGGGAGTACCATCTTCTGTAAAGGTTGGGCCTAGCAGTTCCCACTGAGTGAAGTCAGTATTCAGACATGTTTTCCAAAATGGTTTTGTCAATTAACACATGTAAGTATCTTGAGTGATTTGTTTCTAAAAGAGTTAGATATATAAAAAGAGGGAGGTAATATTTATCTTGTTGTTCAGCTCATAATTAGGATTCTACAAGTGCAGACCCACTTTGATTGTGAATTATTAATACCAGTTTTGCTTATTCATGTTAAAGGAATGTTATCAGATCCATTTTATGCATCTATTTAATCATTTAATTCTTTTTTTCTTGTATTTGGTTTATGTCATAAATTATTATCTCTAAAAATAATCTTCCATTAACCTTAAATAAGTGCTAAATAAACATTTGGTTTTATGAGCAAACTAATTTTGTCTGAGGGTAGAGGCATCCAAATGGGCTGCTTTGTTTTGTAAATCATGTTTTCCGAGATCATATCAAACTAGAGTGTGACCCCTCCATGGCTAAACTAAAGATCAGGAAAGAATTAACATAAAATTCTGCTTTGATCCAAGCTCTGCCTCAAGAAGTGTCATCCCTAATGAAGGATTACTGATTTGTTTGATATACCGTCAAAAATTACAACAAAATACATCTCTAAAATATGCAGGAGTGCAAGTCAGGTTTCAAGGGAAAACCAGAGTCTAAGCATTCAAGATTTCCATCCAAACAAAAGTTTGAGAATAAAAAGGATGGACTGTTCCACATGGTGAGCCCACAATCTGTAGTCAGGAGAAGATAAATAGCAAATAAACAAACAATCATGCAGAAGAGGCATAAAGAGTGATTGAGAGCCACATCTAAAAAATTCCCTAATTCCTAGTACTCTGAATTGGGTTCCTTTCCTGAGCCAGTCACTTGAGGACACAGCCAGTGCTTTGACCTCTGGAATCACAGTACTCATTTTGGAATCATGGAATCATGGAGTTGTAGAACCATAGACTATCCAGAGTTTAAATGTAAGCACAAGGATCATTCAGTGCAACTCCTGATGCTGCACAGGACATCCCAAAAATCACTCCATGTGCCTGAAAGCAATGTCCAAATGCTTCTTGAGTCAACTCTGTCAGGTTTGGTGCTATGATCACTTCCCTGGGGAGTCTCTTCCAATGCCAGAAGAATGCAGAAGCTAAAGTGTGTGATGCAATAATCCAAGTCATAGTGCTGGTTGTTTTTCTATCCGAAAGTGCTGAGGATGACATGGGAGCTAATTCATAAAGTCATGAGGTATTTTTACCTTTCAATACCTTGTGAGAACCTTAGAAAATTCCCTCAGTCTTCAGAAAGAATTTTTTTCTCTCTCCAAGATGTTTCCACAGCATCAAAAAATTAAAGAAGAAGAAAAAAGACCAAACCAAAAAACCCTTAGCCTCTAGGAATCTGAAAGGATATGGTAGAAAGGCACATATGTTTCATGTCCCTCTGCTGCTGCTCTTATCTCTCAGTTTTCTTTTCTGGAGTCATCTTTTCAGATGCAGGGAACAGTCAGAGACATCTTCTGTGTGGGACAGCACAACAGTGCTGCCAGCCCTGCCGGAGCTTGCCAGCCAAGAATGGTGGTGGTGTGTTCACACCATGCCAATCCCTTTGTCACAGTGCTATCTCCACACCAAAGCACTCAGAGCATCTGTGACACTGACAGCTATTATGTGGCACTTGCAGCTGTCTCCCAGACATCAATTACTGTACTGCTGGGTGGCTAGAAGTAATTCATTCTTCCCATCAATCATGCAAATCCTTCCTCCCATACTCTCCTCTCATTCATTTTGTATGGACACGTGTCCAAACAGCTCGATTCTGCCTAGAAAAGGGAAGAGCTGCTCACAACCTTTAAAAAGCACATGAATATCTTTTCATCACCTGAGATGATTGAAAACTTTTAATAAAATGATGATGTTTAAAATGACCATGACAAGATGGGAATCTCCAGAAAGAGCAATTAATTTGCAGGGGGTGAAATATTCACCTTAGGCTAGGAGGAGCAGAATGTCTTGGAGGCCACATTTTGAAACAGGAAATAGATGTAAAGTGCTTTAAAGAGATTCATCGTGATAATATCAATTTGTGGTGGACAACAGAAGTGAGTCTAGCCCAGATCGGTCACATTGCTAAAGATCCATTCCCTTCCTGGCAGTACTGCTCTGAATTATTTAATTGATGAGCTCCACTGGCAGTATTTGCACTTTGACTGAAGATTATAAGCTTTCTTTTCTCTTAGTTTTTGGAGGACACATGAGGGAGTGTTGGTTTGCAGAATTCAAGTGAGTACCTGGCCTAAAAGCCTGTGTGCTTTCTTACCTCCTGAAAGTGTTTCAGAGTATTTTGATAGCTCTGTGTACACCTGAAAGCCATCTGAGAAACAGACATGAGCACTTCCACTGCAGCAGGAAATGTTTCATTAACCTGATGGGCCTTTGGATAGTAATCTCACAAACACCCGGTGCCCTTCCACTGGCTCCACACTAGGAACAAATAGACTCCAGCCACCTCAGAGAGTGGGGTTTGTTGTCTCAACAGTGCCCCTGTGATGAAAATGGATTGATTGTTGCTGCAGTATGGTTGGATTGACTCTAAAACTTCTGGTGTCCAGGACATGATAAACCATGTTCTGGCTTGAGGGCTGAAACCAAGGAGCTGACGTGAAAGTTGCTGTCAGTTTGCTGTGGTTAAGTGGAGGGGTTAAAGAAATGCCGCTCTGTAATCTTGCAGTTTATCTTCTCTTAAGGAATGCCTTATTCCTGGAACATCAAAAAGCTGTGCCATTGACATTGAGAGTGGAGAAATACTTGGTTCCTTCAGAAATTAGTCTTCCCAAAAGAGACAGATTTGTGAAAACCCATCTGCCCAGAACGATATCTTTGATCTTCTCCTCTTGCACTTCTGCAGACAGCACTTTCCTTTCTAGTGAGATGACCATGATGTCTTTTGAGGGACTGTCCTCATGACTATGGTCCATGTGCTTCTTCCCTAATAAACTGGGGAGATTCCTGTTTACAACCTTTCCAAGGAGCTGTTAGGCTAAGGATCATGAAAATAAATGCAAAGACGCATACAAGAAGTTATCTGCACGGTGAGAAACACTTTCTCATGATTGCTAATATCTAAATTGTCTCCAGGAAAAAAAAAAAAAAGTATGACTTTTTATCTCTGAGCACAATATATAGCGCCTTAGATAAAGAGCACACAAATAGCACTGCTATGCCCGCTGCTGCTCCAACAGTAAATTTAATTCCGCTCCTGACTGAGGTGAATTACCCGGCTGAGATAAACTTCACTAATGTAATGGCTTCTGGGGACAGTTCACACTTTCCTTTAGTCTCCTTAACTGCTGTTACTTTCCCACGCTGGGCTGCATTGTGAGGGAAATCATTTGATCTGCTGCAGTTAAGGATGTCTCACCATTTCCATTATAAGCTCCTTCAAAAAGGCAGTGCAGGCTCCAATCTAGCATCAAAGTCATAGAAGTAAAGCAAAGGTTTCACTGTGTTTTAAAAAGATCGTCTTTTACATTTCCTATAAGCACAAGTCTAAAAATTACATCTGCTCTTTGGAGCACTTTGCTGTTTTTCTATTACACAAAACAGCTATTAATTTCGCTGCATGTTTATAGACTTCTTTTAAAAAAGAGCTAGGTCCCTGCTATGATGAAAAAAAAAATGTTAAAATAATAGCCATACTGGAATTAAAATGTTTCTACTTATCCCTAAGAAATCTTTTTCTCTGCTTCTGAATAGCTGGCTGAAAAACTGGAGTGTGAGGATGCTGAGCTTTTACATCCACATTCCCTTTCCCTTGCAGGTAAACAAACGTTTCCAATTAAGGAGGAAAAAATGAGAGATTTATCCAAAAGCAAAGCAGGCTGGAAGGTCTCACTTTTCTCTGTGGGCAGCCTGCCCCCCTCCTGCTGCTGCTGTTCACACCTGTCAGCACTGCCAGTCTGGCTGTTTGTGGGACTGTAGGGAAGAATGTCTGGGCAGAGATAAAGATTGAAAACAAAAAAATATTTGGCTATGTTCTGAGCAGAGACTAACATGGAGTCCAGACAGTGATGCAAGGGATAGACCATTTTTGCCAATAATTTCTTCTTTCATTTTGTACAGAATGAGCGACCCTGGAGTAAGGAATCTCCTTTATGAACTGGGCTGGCTGGGGTTTAATGGTTCTCCTCTAATCCAATGGTTTTTGGATCTATGGAATCTTTAAGAAACATGAACAATATTGATAGAAAGGCGTTACTCTTTTCTAAAGCTGCCAATATACCAGTCTTTCAGACTGGACAGACATCAGAAGACTTATGAGGCTTTATTAAATAATTATTTTCATGGGACAGTGAGAGTATTAACCAGATTTTGAGAAGACATTAAACGGAAAGGATCTGTAAATCATTCTGCTTCCTTGAATTTTTCTGTAATCTAACAGGCAGTCTCACACTATGAAATCAGGAAGGAAATGAGCACTGACTTGTCTGAAACCTGTTTTGATTTTGTCTCTGTATATATTCAGACAAAGAGCATTTGTCAAGAATAAATTACAATATGGGCTAAGCAGAACTAAAGGCAAATTGTAAGCTCCCTTATCAGCATGTTGACATTATTAGACTGTCTTTTGTCTGGAAGAGAAAACATTTCACAGAACCTGCATGCCACCATCCTTGGATACAGATGGACTTTATAGGAAACACCATCACCTCTTTACATGTAACCCTACCAATAAATACTTTGGAAAGGATGGAAAAAGAGACATTTCAGGCATAGACGCAGACTTAATCAAGGCTCTGTTTGTACCACTACTCTCTGGGAAGTCATATTGGCTGGTTTACAAGGCACTAGGCATCTCTCTTGGTCTTTAAAACTATTGGAAAAGCAGCTTTTGTCCACCCTCTGCTCTTTCCCAGCTCAAACCAAAGCATATCGAAAAGCAATGTTTCTCTTTGTCTGACACCCCATAAGGAGTGTCTTATGCTGTGTATGTTATGGATGTAGCAAAGGTCAGCTCAGCATTCTGGATTTAGGGCTTCAGCCCTTTCTTTCCCTGCTTCCTTGAGTCTGTCTGTGGATGACTGCCTGCTCAGCATGCAAGCTGATGTGTATCCCAGCCGGATATCCAGCGCTCAGTTCACTGACGTATTTACAGGGAGCCTGAATGGTCACAGAGCACTCTGGGTGTTCCAGTGATGGCAGAATGCTTTACTGACCATAATCCCTTATCTCTTGGATTTCCCAACATGAATCATAATGCATCAGTCTCTGCCATTGCTAGCACGTGACTTGCTGTTTGGGATGGCAGGTGTCTGTGCAGTGCTGAGTTGAGTACCCACATTTACTGGTACTAAGGGCAAAACAACATGGTTGCAACAGACTTATTTTCCTTATGCAATTGCTGAAGCATATCTGCTATCTTCACATTTGCTGAAGGTTAATAGCACACAGCTTTCAAATTCATGCTTGGGCCTATCTGACTTCCTGCTTAGAGAGCAATGTGTTTATATTCTCTGCACTGACAAGAATAGAGTAGGTGAATGATAAATGCTGTAGCATTGTGTGCTGCTCCTGATAATGTTATCTCTGAAGATTTTAATAACCCACATCATTACAGAGAAGTTGCCCTCTGTCTAGGTAAGCACAAGAGCTGTTTGCACTGCTAACATTGAACTGCCATCATTTTCACATTAACTGAGAAAAGTTTTAGGGTTTTCTGGATTATTTTGCCCATGCTGGTAGAATGATTTTTTTTGTTTGTTTGTTTTGTTTTGTTTTGTTTTGTTTTTTGTTTAAGGTACTATATCCTAATTTACTTCCATTTGTATTGTAACAGTCACACACTACAACAGAAATACTGTCTTCACTTGGTAAAGGATATATAGATAGGCATGTGACTTATTCTTACGGGGCAGGACAATTTTGTGCTGGTGCAGTAAACCCCAGAGAATGTGCTCTGGAAAATCTGCTGTCATATAAAGCAAAGTGGAGCAGAACAATCCATAATCATACCACATTTTCAAATAATTTTCTGTCTAGCCTATAAAAATCAAGGAGAATATGGATTAGAGAAACCCATGTGACTTGATGGGGAAAACCTCAACCAAACAGGAAATCCTTATGGACTACTATATTAGCAGAGAGCTTGAGAGATACATCTTCTTCTCAAGACACAAGAAGGAATGATTTTCCGCATGCTCAATGAACTGTCATCAACTGCAGGACAAACAATCTGGGATAGCCACTATTTCTTGCTGCTTTTATATCCTACTTAATGCTTCCATCTTGTCTTCAATGGCTGTTGACAACCCCCTTTCTCAGGCCCCAGTTGTCTCAGATTTTTTTTCACCTTTCATGCCTTTGTCAGAATTCCCTGTCCAACTCCAATATCTGGCTTGTCTAATTTGATCATCTCTTTGCTTTTCTCAAAATATTTCACTGACTCACTCCGCTTCCAAAAGTCAACTCTCCAACTCTCAAATCCATGACGTATGGTATAGTAAAGACTTTTCCACCATGTTACTTCACATCCAGCTTCTCTCCCACCATGATCTCCCCT